CTAATCTACAAGCTAACACGACTAAAGAAGACGCTACGCCCACCGCCGCGAGCGGCGAAGCGGCAACTTACGATTCGCTTGTCCGTCTCCCCGCTGGTAGACGCTGGCAGACGTTAGATTGATGTCTACGCTTTCAAAGTCGACGCTGCCAGACGCTCGAAACACTCCTGAACGGTGCCGTAAAGTATGAACGCAGCTTCACAGCTTGTTTCCGTGATCCTAGCTGCTAAGATCAAGACGATACTCCCCCCCCTACGAAATTTGCTCGCGCGGCAATCGCTACGCCGCGCGACGGACCTATGACGCACTCATCGGCGGGACTTTAGGGTAGTTGCGAGTGTGGAGTAATATTATGCGACTATCTTTTCTGGGATATCTAATGAATGCAATTTCATGATTCCGACTGTTTAACCTGATATATGAGAGAGGTGCCGTATGTTAGAAAAACTGAGGATGAAAAGAGCTTTTGTACATCTGATAGGCTGTTCATATTTGGCGGCAGCGTCCACCAGCGTTCCGAGCGTCAGGCAGCGTCAGCGACCAGGAAAGTATACATAGATATCGATCTAGCTTCTCACAGCCACGTGCGCCAGCGTCCGCCAGCATCTACCAGCTTCCGGGAGTGGAGAGTATGGCGCAACAGGAGGTAGCAAACAGCTAGTACCTCTATCGCGCCATACTCTCTACCAGCAGTCTGCCATCCTCCTATCTCCCCATGCTCTACCAGCTGTCTGCTACCCTCCTATCGCGCCATACTCTCTCTCCCGGACGCTGGTAGATGCCGGTGCACACTGGCAGACACTATCTATACTTTCCTAGTCGCTGACGCTGCCGGCGCTCGGAACGCTGGTAGAGGCTATAGTTGCTCGTGGAAGCTGCTGCAAAGTATGAAGAGATAGGCGGCACTTATCCTCTCTACATCACCTTCGTTCAACCAGAGACGTATGGAGTTGTATTGTATAACAATAGTTTGACAGGAGAGGTCCTGACGAAAAACTGAGTTGTTTTTTTTCAAGTTTCTCCCAGTTTTTTTTTCAAATGCGTTGCACGTAGTTCAGTCGAAATACAGTGCGATGCCTTGTTTAGACGCTGATGCTCCATCAAGAAAAGATCCGCATCTGAGCGAATTCCTGCACTGGCTTGTGATTAACATTCCTGGACAATCTATTAACAGAGGCAGCGAAGAATTCCCGTACCGTCCTCCAAGACCACCAGTGGGTACAGGTATGATTTTTTTATATGGTTGAGCCATGTACTCGTGCAGCTGTACTTGCAAAGTCTTGTCGAATATTCTACGTTTCGGGACAACTGGCTAAGCAATGCTGTGCGCGGCGGCCGACATTATGCGTGCCGCCGAAATGCATGTCCTGACCCATTACGGTGAAGCGTACTCATTAGAAGTGGGGCGCACTTTAGGAATTACGTATGGAAGCTGCATCTGGGCCTCTGCATCTCACTTTAAGAGTTTAAATACGGGACCTTTGAGCTGCTGTTCAAACCTATAAACTGGTTTGATAAATCGAACTATCCCTGTGCTTCACGCGTTATAATATGTTCTTCAACAATATGAAAACTCGATACACATTTTTCATTGGTAACCTCATTGGTAACCATACACCTTCGATCAACGGGAACTTTTGAAGGGAAATAGGAGGTATTGAGATAGCGTAGATGTAATGAAGAAATGAATGGAGTAGGGTTCAAGAGAGGTTTAAGGGGTCTCACTAAAGCAGCAATTCTCCACGGAGCCTTGTCGTGCTCTTGCTCTCCGTAGTGAGAACCCTTCATCAACTGAGCCAAGGATTTCTTTCGTACACGCTTTCAGTGTGGTGAGAAGTGGATAATTGATAACGGGCTTCTCCGGTGGGGATGGGGATCGAAACACTCATACGTAATCTGAAATTTCAACTTATTTGATGTTTCCATATCATTACGCCATTTCCCAGTACTTTTCTTAATTAGCTTTTACCCTCCCTTTTTTTCAGTCCTGGTCTTATTCCAACCCTTGCAGAAAGTTGGTAACGATTCAGTTGAAAAGCCAGGAGATATCAGATAAACGTTCCACCCACAATTATCTAGGACAGCGAACAAAATTGAATTCTTCTCGTTTTTCCCTTCCTGTTTTCTTTCCTTTATGAATTTCCTTCGGACCGATCGATATATTTTCCCAGTGCGCTGCGAGATAAGTGCAAAACCGGGATATGTGTGCATTCTACGGCATGGCCGTCCGTGAATAGACTGGGCTGTACCGATGGAATTAGCGAAATCATACTATACAGAATCATTTCTGTAGTGTGTATTTCGCAATCCCAACCAAAGGGCGATACCCGTCCACCGCGATGAAAGGGAAACGGGCGAGTTGCGAGCGGGAAGAACGCCAACGGCGTTGAGGACCGTGTCGTGGCATTTTTGTCGCGACTGCGATTCGCTCATCTGAGCGGTTTAAATAAAGCTTCAGGTGCTAAAACGATCGAGCGGTCTCCTCACCTGCCGTGCAGCCGTCGTTGTGATAACCACAACAGAGGGGGTCGTAATCGCAGGCCCCTTCTGAAAAGGGGAATGCAGCGATGCTCAGATTTCGTACAGCTTCAGTGATGAAAGACTTGTTCTTGTGAAGAACACTCGTAGAGACATCTGACGGCTTTCAGATTTGTGCCACATGAAGGCACCAACTTGAACAATTCAGTGCTGGTGCCTTTATGTGGCATAAATCTGCCCTCAGTTAACTATTTAAAGACACATGGTACGCTCAAACACATTGAGGGTGTATGAGACTATCAGCCCCCCAGCTGTCGATGTGTCGTGGTCCCCCGCCCAAAACTGCACGGGGTCAGAGTACGGGGCCGTGGGAAAGTCGTAATTCCTTGCTACACCGCCCGTTTCGCAAACTCACGTTTTTACTAACACCGTCCGCGCGGCGCGGTCGCGTGCAGCTCTCTTGGCTTTTTGCCAAGTCCTGTAATTGCGCTTTGGAATACAAGTACAACGCAATTTCTTTATGCGGATAACATTTTAGGTGCTGCAAAATAAGAACCGAAGATGATGACGAGGGCTAGAACTCAAGAGCAACTGTGCTGCTTCTGCAATATCCCTCAGAGGCCGCGCATTCCCACAGAACATGACAATAAAAACGGACAACATGACAATAAAACATGACAATACAAGCAAAACGCAATTTCCTAACATTTGAGGTATTGCTCATGCTTCAAAGTCCGAATAGAAGAGTGATGAGAGGACAAGAGGGCTAGAAATGAGAGGGAACAACGAGATGGTATGATGTAAAATAGAAAACAAAAATTGAAGAAAAAACTAAGGAACTGCAGAACGTATGTTAAAATCGGCTGTGGCATTGTTCGTGCAATTCCCGGCCTCGAAAATACGGGCCCCGCTTGTTTGTTTCTATAAGGCTATAGAAGATAATGCAAGAACTAACGATGGAGACGCGTTCAGGGGCCGTTGTTTAATTGTCGATGTTCGTGGGAAATGCGCGTGGCCTCTGAGGGATATGCAGAAGCAGCACAGTTGCTCTTGAGTTCTAGCCCTCGTCATCATCTTCGGTTCTTATTTTGCAGCACCTAAAATGTTATCCGCATAAAGAAATTGCGTTGTACTTGTATTCCAAAGCGCAATTACAGGACTTGGCAAAAAGCCAAGAGAGCTGCACGCGACCGCGCCGCGCGGACGGTGTTAGTAAAAACGTGAGTTTGCGAAACGGGCGGTGTAGCAAGGAATTACGACTTTCCCACGGCCCCGTACTCTGACCCCGTGCAGTTTTGGGCGGGGGGACCACGACACATCGACAGCTGGGGGGCTGATAGTCTCATACACCCTCAATGTGTTTGAGCGTACCATGTGTCTTTAAATGGTAGCCGATGAGCGATTGTCTGCTAGGCAACATCGTTTATCTGCTACGAGATTAGCAGCGGACAGGGAGTCGTATCGAGACCCCCTTTTTGGGGGAGAGGTGAGGGGGAGGTCGTAATCAGCAGGAATTGATTTATCCTAACGCGATGGCGTGCACTAATCCCCCGACAAAGTATGAGAATCCTCCGGTCACGGTCGTTATTTTCTCCATGGGCACTGATTGCCCTGAATGTTGTTTCTTAAAGAGCATCTCAACTGCAACGCAGAGGACCTGCGCTATAAAACGGCTCGCGGATCAAATAAGCTTAGCCAGGCTTTCTCAGAGGCCAGGCTTTTAACCATTGGTTTCTTGTCATGTGTGTGATGCCACACGACCAATGCAGCACTTCCGTCAGCTCCCTAGAAGTCTTCGCCGACTGTGCGGGAGTGAACCATTACCTTTTCCTGAACACAGCATCTGCTTCAACATTGGCTCAATTCCTATTCTGCTTGATAAATCGTAACTATCCCTGAGCCTCATGCGTTATAACATCTTCTTCAACAAAATTCAATGAGAATTCGATCACAATTTTCACTGGTTAGCTTTCACTGTGTCAACAGCAACCTCAAATAAAATCAAGCATACTCAGTAGTGAACATCTTGATAACAATCAAGTTGTACGAAATACTAACCAGACTGAACTCCTTCTTAACAATAAAGTTGCTAAGGTCTGTAATACAATACACTCAATGCCTACAACTGATGACAACTACACCAAATACTAACGACCTACCCCAGTGACACCTCCAACGCACTAAAAGCCGGCACGTACTACTCTCGATGAACCTCGGCATCATAACAGAGAAGGTCTATTCAGATTTGACTCGTCACGAGGGTGGCTATATGAAGGAGTGGGTAACTTTCCGGCGAGATCGTCTTCTTCGGAGCCTGGAAGATGGAAATTGACTTATGAGGTTACCCGATCAAACAACCTCCTGCGAGACCTTCGAGGGCACCCTAATTCATCACATAATTGAGAAGTAGGTAAAGCACCGTACCTCACAAGAACGCCAGATCAGATCACGACCGACAAGCAGTGGAAGACTTCGGGCTAATCGTGCTCAGAGTTCCGGTTGGAATCCTTATGCTCAGGCAGCGTTCATACTTCGCGACAGCAGCGGCGATCGCGCGATCGCCGCGATCGTCGGTACATGGCAGAGCGCGCCCCAACGCTATTACTTGCGCTCCGAAGGCTTTTGGGAAGAAACTCAATTTCATGCTTTTTTCCTTTAACTGCAATTTTCTTAGATACTGAAGCTTGGTTTGACACAAAGAAAGGTGAACCCAACTTAATGGCTTTTGTTTTCTATTTTCTTCTTGATTCAGGATAGAAATGAGGCAAAAACGTGTGAGCTGGCGGCCAGTTTTTATTGTTTCTTTTTTCATTCGTCGAGCTTATACATGAGGTTATAAAAATTTTCACCTGTTGATGTTGCGTAAAATGATTAGTGTTTTGGTTCCTAGGTGAGTTTCTTTCTGTTTTTTTTTTTTCTTCGTTGTTTGAACTCGACTTGTAAACTATAAATGTTTTGGAAGTTGGAACAGTTCAGACGATAGGAACTTTTGAGGCGCTTGCATAAACTGAAACAATAAAAAGAAAAGAAACAAAAAGAAGCTCACCCAGGAAATGGAGCTGGCCTTATCCCGACCTAAAAAGAAGTGAAACCTCCTTACCTCATATTCCAGATCCGCTTATGTATAGAAAGTCGTAAGTTATCAGTTAGTAGCCATTATTAAGAGAAAAGAAGGTCTCACAAGTAGGATTTCCTTATTTATCAAGCGAGCAGTACATAATAGCGTTGGGGCGCGCTCTGACACGTACCGACGATCGCGGCGATCGCCGAAGTCGCCGCGATCGCCGCTGCGGTCGCGAAGTATGAACGCTGCCTAACCTTATATAGTGGGTTAGTTCCCGCGTGACGGACAGAGGCAGTTCATTTGAACTAACTGAACTGGAGCAACTAAAATTTACAATAAGACTTCCTTTATGGCAAACCGCTAATTCACCAAACTCTCTGATCCTTCGCATGTGACCCAAGGTAAATTGCCCCGCGTAACTAAGCCGATTTTATTCTGCCACTGCGTACAGGTGATTCGGCCCCACATTTTCTTCGCAGATCTAGAATGATGTTAGCAAGCTTCTTAGACATTCAGATGGCCGAAATATTAGCTTGATTGAAAGATGCGACCCCTTGAAGGTATAATTAACTTTTTTGTTGTTCTTTCGTTAAAACATGGTGGATCCAGTTGTATTCCTCCAGTAGCGAAGAAAGGTCGCTTCTTGGTCTAAGAGAAGTAATCCATTCTCTTCCAGGAAACCGTGCTATCTCCGAGTCCACCTCTGATTCCTTAGTGCATGTCCTCGTCTTCATAACGATAAGGTTTGATATCACATTGGCCATCATAGAAGGGATAAACAAGATATAAATAGGGCTTGACGCCATACTTTCTAGAGATTATTATACTTAGTCGTCCTTGTTCTTTTTTCAACTTTTTTCGTTCTTTATTGTGCCATCCGCTGATTGAGTAGGTTTCTTTTTCCCAAGCCGAGCGGAGCACCGTTGAGTGTATATCAACAAAAAAATGTGGGAGCATGGTGTTCTCTAACTAATTTGGTGATACAAAAGCGGAAGATGTCAGAAATGATGCGATGTAGAAAGAAAATTTGTAAATAAGACGAAAAAAAATCGTGAATCTTGTCAAGTTAGAGTAACAAGTTTGTGGAAGTTACAAAAACGTCATAATTAAGGTCCACACAGATATTACCTACTGGTCTTCAAGCAAGAGAAAAGGATATCTGCGAGAAATGTGGAATCCAGAGCCCGGTACGATTCACAGTTGTGTACAAAATTTACTCAACTACATTCCATATACCGGAGATGGATAGGGCGTGGCTGCGTACTTCATCTGAACACCGCATAACTTGCGTTCCTCGCGATATTAATATTTGGATTATAGCGTCGTTCGCTGCAAATGCTGGGACGTGTTAGGCGAGGCAGGGTCTGTCGCGCGGCACCAACCCTTTTTCCTTTAATTACTGTCGCTTGCTCTCTCCAACAACTGGTAAAGAACACGGGCGTCGCGAAAACCCCTGCACCTCCCCCCTCCCCCTGACACTCCCCAGCGTCCTCAGCGAACAAGACCGTAATTCTTATCCCGTTTTGTACTAGTCAAAGGAATGATTGCACTTGCCCCAAAACGGAAATACTCAACCAAAAGTGCAGCAGCCGCCATTTTGGTGTGAAATACGCAGCCACGCCCCCTCTTTCCGAGGATTCGAAGTGTATATAGCGCTTTGTGCAGCCACAGTTGAATTAACTGAGCATATATGTTGCTGGAAGTACAGAACTGTTAAAAGCACAGTCCAACAACTCATGGAGTATTAGGCCTTCCCACTAGCGCGCAGTTCTCTTCACTGCGCGCCAACGAGGAAGATATCATGATCGTGATTCCCTGCCCTTTCATTCACGCGTCAAATTATCGTGTTTAGTTGCACCTAACTGCTTCACTTCTGCAAACACTGGCCACCTTTACCAGGAATTGTTAGCACAGCCGCCTTTGCAAACGCGTGTAACATTAAAGGCAGTTGGCAGAATCCCTCAAGACGAGTAGGATTAATACGCCTGGCAGGACGGAATTCCGCGACCCTGAGCAGGCGCTGCATAATGCCTTTTCCAAGGAAGGTGCCCTTATAAGGGCCCTATCAAGCCACAACATACCGACCCAAACGCCCGCCCGCCCACAAATGGACGACCGTTCCTGACGATTCATTTGCTAAGCAAATTATGAAGCGAAGGGATTGGTATGAAGCGGCCGTGATGCATGGATATATGAGTACACATATGCAGCCGTACCTTCGGTAGCGGTTATTGGCAAGATGCCTACAGGAAACTCGTCCAAAATTGATTTCTAACACATTGAGAACGGAGGCTCTTTCTTCGCAGGATTTTGACCGTTTCACTCCGTTCTTTCGCCATTTCCCCACTATATAGCGCCCTACTAGCATTTTAGGCCGAGCACCAAATCGTGCCAACTGCCTTTAAGCAAATCTGCTCCCCAGCATTCACCACGGTAGGGTATATTGTAACGAGCATTAAAAAGTTCTTTTTCAGATTCGATGCACTAGCATTCGCTCGTCAAAATGGAATGGGAGAACCGATTGCAGGGATCTTCTTCAAGGTATTGGAATTTGATTTATTGATTGCTTCAGTACATTCACCTGGATTTAAGTAAGTTTAATCTAGTGTAAGTTTTAAAATTGTCAAGTGAGTAAAACGAGTCTTCCACGTGCGGCTCAGCGGAAGCATACATTTCCTTACTCATCTTGGCCCTACAGAAGTCTCCCTATAGAAAGAGCAAAGCAATGTGACATACAGTTCTGAATGGTCCAATGTATACGCTGATCAACAAGTCTCCAAGTACTGATAATCTACCAAAAACAACCCCTTCACGGCGCTCCGCCTCCATATACTCTATACTCAGTCCGAACTGCCATAATTACTAAGAATCGACTAAATCACGCAGTATGTACGAGCACTTCATATAGCAGAGATCGAGTGAGCGTAGCTGCGTACTTCCTTCGGAGGGTGTGTCACTGCGCTTTTTGTGGTATACTATAGCTGAGGAACAGCTAGAACTCTCTTTTCACCGCAAGACATTGGGAGGTTCTGTTCAGTTGAAGTACCCACCAAAAAAGCATCCTACGCCATGCTCAAAGAAGCAAGCAACCGCGCCTCCTTTCTTCAGCATGTGGGTGTACGCGCTTACAATGATAGTCCACGGCGGTTGGAACACTTCGCAATAGCGCCATCGAAGAGTAGAAGAACCAACGGATAAGAGGAGATACGTATCGATTCCCAAGATTGGAGAATCGTGGATTCTCCCAAGGCTGCGTTCATACTTTGCGGCAGCGTCCACTAGCGTTTCGAGCGTCCGACAGCGTCAGTGAATGGGAATGCATAGATACCGATCTAGCGTCTGCCAGCGTCTACCAGCGTTCGCCAGCATTTACCAGCGTCCACTAGCGTTTCGAGCGTCCGACAGCGTCAGTGAATGGGAATGCATAGATACCGATCTAGCGTCTGCCAGCGTCTGACCAGCGTTCGCCGGCATTTAGGCAGGACAAGGAAGGGTGGCGGCAGCTGAGTCAAGGTATGAAGGAGATAGGAAGGTGGCATACTGTTTAGTAGAGAGTATAGGCGGGGTCAGAAGGGTAGAAGCTGTCTGCTACCTCTTTTCGCGCCATACACTCCTCCCACGACGGTAGACGCTAGTGCACGCTGACAGACGCTAGATCGATACCTATACGTTCCCAGTCGCTGACAGAGCGGTCCGGGACGCTGCAAAAGTCGGTAGACTCTAGTAGACGCTCGTGAACGCTGCCGCAAAGTATCAACGCAGCCTTATGCACAAGACGAGCGTAACTGAGTTAGCCCATACGCGATCTTTTACGCGGTTCATTAAGCCATCTCCATTTGCACCTTGTTTGTGCGGACGCTGGGGCGTATGAGGCAGATGGCTTTGCGCGAGCGTCAATCCTTCTTCTTCTTCTTCTTCTCCCTAGCGTTAGTCCCGCGCCGTCGCAGGGTCCGCTGATCTTGTTAGACGTCGCCACTTGTTCCGATCCACTGCATCTTCTGCTGTGGCTTTCACTTCAGTGAGGTCCCTCTTGATGACGTCCCTCCACCTTTTCTTCGGGGCTCCTCGTGGTCGCTTGCCCTCTACCTCGAGTTCCAATGCCTCGCTTTTGGGGTGTTCTTTTCCTCCTCAGTAGGATGACGGCGTACGCATCGGCAAGTCGCTCTTCGTGCCTTCAGCTGGATAGGAGCCGTCTGTGTGACTGCTCTGACGTCCTCGTTTCTGACTCTGTCGAGTCGTGTCCAGCCGCAGGCCCATCTCAGCATCCTCATTTCAGCTGAGTGGAGCTGCCTTTCATGGTTCTTGCAGATAGGCAGCAATCACTGCCGTAGAGCATTGTAGGCCTTCACAGTCCCGGTAACTTGGCCCTGAGTGTTCTCGAGCATGCGCCGTCGCTAGCAGGAATGCGCTAGTGGAGCTGCGCCTCCATTTCATCCAGGCTGCGTTGATTCGGGCCGTCACTGCTGGTCCACGCTGCCATCAGCTGCTAGGTTGCTCCCCAGGTACTGGAAATCCTCGACCCTTTCGATGCTCTCGCCATGGCGATCTACGATGACTTCGGCGCACTCTTCGGAGCTTAGGAACTTGGTCTTCTTTACGGCTGTACCGGAGTCCATTCGCAGCGAGCACATCCTGCCACCGCTGCACTTTGTCCTGAAGTTCCTCCCTGCTGTCCGCTATCAGGGCGATGTCGTCAGCATAGAGGATGGTTTTCAGTGGTCCCTCCATGAGTTCTTTTGCCATGACATCTAAAGAGTCGGAGGAAGAGGGAAGACGGGCTGAGGGCTGACCTTGGTGTGGCCCCAACCGTATGTTCACACGCTCTTTGTCAGCGCGTGAGGGTGCGGACAGCTGGCGTTTAGCCATCGTACATGTCCTTTACTATGGAGATGAGGTGTTCGGACGTTAGACGTTTCTTTGAGCGCTCCTGCAGAGTGAGGCCTTGCAGGCAGGTCGAATGCTTCCATAGGTCAGGAAGGCCTAGGTAGGCAGGGCGCTTCTCTCGGTACTTCTCCATCAGCTGTCTGGCGATGAAGATGCATCGGTGGTGGACCTCTCGGGCATGAAGCCGAACTGTTCCTGCGAGATAGGGACAGTTCGGCTCAGCCTAGTGTTTGGACCAGGCGCGTGGTGCAGCTTCATGGTATGGGAGTGCGGCTTGATCGCGTAGTTTGGAGGCAGCTCGGTGCGTCGCCCTTTTCTGTTTGAAGATGGGAACGATTGTGCTGCTCCTCCACGCATTCGGCATCCTTCCTTCAGTTGTTACGTTGTTTAGGAAGTGCGTGAGCCAACTCACCCCATGCTCTCCGAGGGCCTTCCATGCCTCTATCGGTACCCCGTCTGGACCCACTGCTTTCCAGCTTTCAATTCTTCGCTAGCTCCCGGCGAACTTCATCCTTCGTCCAGGGAGTGATGGAACCTGCCGTCGCCTCTATCTGTGGGCTATCCTTGCGAGGGAATTCTTCGTTCAGAAGTCCCTCGAAGTATTCTTCCCATCTTCTGACTTGGCTGGTTTCTGAGAATGGCCGTTGCTGCTCTTTAAGTCTTCAGGACCTGATGTCTGAGCTGCGGCGAGTGACGAGGCTTTAGGCCAGGGAGACGACTGTCGCCCTTTTCTGGCCTTCAGCTTGTCGTACAGGGCGTCCATTTCAAGTGTTCTTGGCTTAGAACGGACCGGCTTGATGCGAGTCCGCTTGCAGCTCTTGTAGGCAGCGTAGTCTTCTGGGCTCCGTGTCTTTTGCCAGCGTTTGTAGGCTTCCTTCTTCTGCTTGACGATCCTCTGGACTTCCTCGTTCGCAGACCGGTAGGGCTGCCTTTGTCTCCTCTGATAACACTCGGGTTTTCTGCCCAGGCCTCCTTTGCAGCACTGTAGGATACGTCATGGTGCGTAGGGTCGCAGGTGCGTGGACTGCGCGCATGTGGGTCTGGAGCCCACGTCGTCAGTATTCTTGCGGCCGAGGTAATCCTTTTCTTACGTGCCATTTTCCACCACCGGAATTCTCGCTCTGCTCTCACCCTTGTCTTCTTGGGGAGGTCTATGGCGATGTCTGCCAGGAGAGGCCTGTGCTGAGGGCCCAGCTCTTCCCCAGGCAGTACCTTGATATCCTTGATGGTTTTGAGAGACGATCTTCTTACCAGGACATGGTCGATTTCCGTTTGTCTCCCTCCACTGCTGTAGGTTACCTTTTGGGTCCTCCTTTTCGCGAAGAAGGTGCTGCAGATTGCTAAGTCGTGGGCTGTTGCTAGGTCAAGGATTAGTCTCCTCGCGTTTTTTGTCCGCTGATTCCTTGACCCGTGCACCCTTTCTAGACCCCTTCTGTCCCTCCCAACATGGCCATTCAGATCTCCAGCTATGGTGAGATAGTCCTCTTCCGGAACCGATCTTATGGCCTCGTCCAGGGTCAGGTAGAACTCATCCTTTTCGGCTTCAGAGCAACCGGATTGTGGTGCGTACGGTAGTATGTCGTACTCCTTCGTGTCATTCTCACTCCTGGATGCGGTTTCACTGATCTGTTACAGAGGAGAGCGCAGTCCTTGAGAGTTCTGGCCACCGCTTATGGCAACGCTCATTCCGTTTGGTGTCTGCTGCATTGTGAAGCAGGAGTTTGACACGGCCTTCTCCCAATTGCGGGCCTTCGCACTCCTTCATCGTGGTCTCCTGGCAGCATAGGACTTGATATTCTGCGTCTGCATGAGGTCGGCAAGCCTCACGAGACTTCTCCGGGTAGCGAACACGTTCAGGTCCAATTCGAACTAGCTTCTTTGGCCGAGGTCGTTCACCCCTCGGTAGCCCTCGCATACTGACCACAGAACTCGGGCGAGGGTTCTGCGCGCCACTTCCGGGTGACGTCCTAGCTTTAACACTGATTCTATTGCGACTTGTCATGGTTGTTGTGACGGGTTCCTCCATCAGCCGGCCTGTCAACCTGGGCCTGACGCTGGTATCGTCCCCATTTTTGCAATTTTTGCAAGGCAGGTTTGTGCCTCGGCAGGGATCGAACTCGTGGCTCAGAGTGAGATTATGAGGTACTCACTGGTTACCACTTCGCTATCTCGCATCTGCGCAGCGTCATCTGTTCTCACCGTATATTGCTGTAGGCGCGGTAGGTGACACTTGGTGGAAACCGGTGGCGCCGCGCCAAAGCCAGCCTTCTGGCATGCCCCAGCATCCGTAGAATCGAGGACTGTATGTCTATGTTGTGATAAGACAGTTTTTTCAAATCACTTCGGATGATAACGACATATTTCCAGGCTGAGAGACGCGATCGTTGAGCAGTAACGGCATAGACAGCTGTCCGCTAACCAATATATCGATTATTCATCCACGATGAAAGAGCAGAACTGTAATTTTGTGGTGGGTGTTTCTCGCAGTAAATGGCATTACATGTTAAGTTGTTCTGACAATTTTGAGAATATTTCACCCTTTCTCTCGGAGGGAATTTAAAGAGCAAATGCCCCAAAATACAAGAGCGGCTTGGCGGTTGAAGGAAGGGAGTTGAGGATCAATTCCAGGTTAAAGATCTTACTCTTAATTTTCAGCTCTGTCGAGTTGCAAGGTGATTCCAGGCCTTCCGTAGCAGTATAATGAAGTCTAA